TTCCTCAAGGTGATAGAGACCTATTCAGCATGTCAATTCCTGATGCTTATTTTTAGGGAGGTATGCATCTGTTTGATGTTTTGTCTTTAGGTCTGGCCCATAATGAGAATATCTTTCTCCCACAGTTTCAAAGCATCTTGTCATCTACTGGATCCAACTGAGTGTCTAGCCCTCTCTGACTGCCTATAATATTTCTATTAACTCATTGGCCTATACCATGCATGCAAGCAAAGTGAAAGAAAAAAAAAAACATTAATAGATCCAAATGTTCTAGCCTAAGGAAATAATTGCATTCTTCTATTGTTTTCTGAGACAAGACTAGGGATATCTAGTACAAAATATTTTAAATGTTGCTAATGAAGATGAAGTCATAACCGTATTTATTACTTCATGCAATGTAAAGTCCTCAGTTCCCTTGCAAAGGACATTTTCAGTGAAATGGTGAAAATGGGAACTGGATGGAAATATGTTAAAAAATAAGGAAATCTTCATCTAAAATGTACTGAAAGGTTATATTGTGACATCATCTCTCATTATTAAACAACTACCAAATATAAAATACAAATACTGAAATTAAAAGCTGTGTGCTTTAATTAATACTTTTGTGAAAAAAAATGGAACAGATACACTAGACAGAGAGTGAGGTTAAACAATAGATTTTTTTTTTCGCTGAGCAGGGGTTTGAACTCAGGCCATTGTGCTTGCCAGGCAAATGCTTATTCTACTGAGCTATCTCCCCCACCCTATGCCATAAATTTTAAGGGAAAAGTTTTTATAAGGTAATCAATGGTTAATCCCCTGTAGCTTCAATATAATCAAGGCAGGATACTACCAGCCTAATATAGGTGTTATAACTATGAGCTGTTTTCCTACAAGTGGCAACAAAGCAAAAACTGCAAGTTGATACACAAGAGATAAAAACTAAAAGTCAAAAGATAATGTTATAGAAAATCATATTCTCAGAAAGGAATAAAGTAGAGAAAAACCCCATGCTACAGAAAGATTAAAGAAGATATTTAAAAAAGGGTAATAGTAAGTCCTTGCTTATCAGTAACTATCATTAATGTAAATAGATTGAATTCTGCATTCAAAAGATATACACTGCCTCAATGGCTAAATAATGAAAAGTAAACAAATATGCCTGCAAAAGACTTAGTTCACTTTTAATCATAAAGACAATATGAAAATAAAAGATTGTATGAAGATACGCTAATCCAATGGGAACTAAAAGATATAAAATGAAGTTTAAATAAAAAATTCTATAAAATGAGACAAACAAGGTCATTATATACTGATAAAGAATTAAATAATCAAAAGAATATAGCAGGTACAAATGTCCTTTTCACTTAGTATCCATTGAATATTGGTCCCAGTACTGCATTAGAGTCACCAAAATCTGTGGATGATTAAGTCCTTTAAATACACTGGTGTGGTATTTGTGTGTAGCCTAAGTACATATTCCCACATATTTTAACTCTTATCTGGATTACTTATTATATTTACTATATTTTACATGCTATCTAAGCCACTGTTATACTCTATTAGTTAGGGAATGATAGCAAGAAAATGTTGGTAAATGTTCAGTACAGACACCATTTTATTTTATTATGTTTTTATCTAGAGTCAATTGAATTAGTGAATACAAAACCCATGAATAAAGAGGAATGACTGTAGTATGGTTTTTCCAATATGTAAAAACCATGAAAGGCTTTATGAATCATCCAGAGTAAGAAATCAACAATAACCAAGAAGAAATCAGCAAGGGAAAAATCAGAACAAGGTAATAAGATTGGAAGGCCCACGGTGTTTGCAGTTTGAGGCTTCTATTACATAAAATAAGGATTATGTGGACAGGAACACCATGCTATTGCAATATGCAGCTTGATTTTTGAGATGACCATTAGATGACTAATGAAGGGCTTGTGTATATGGCATGTATATGATGGACAAATGAATGCTTTACTTCTAGGGAATAGTGAAACAGGATAGCTTGAGCTGTCTTCTTATGACAGAAATATGTTATAATCGAAAATTTATAAATTTAGTGAGCATTTTCATTTAACATTTTCAAATATTATTTGACCACACATAACTAAGAATGTATAAAGAGAAACTACAAATAAGGGGAAATTATTGTACTGATAAGCTTAAAATCACTAATAGTATAACAAATATCTACTTGTATCTACTAACTCTTCCTGACCTTGAATTTGCCAGTAAATGCTTAGATAACTTCAAAGCACAAGAATCAAAAGAAAATATATACTTTGAACTTATAGAACTTCAAAATTAAAAGGTTGATTTTTAACCATAATATGAAACTTATTCCCCATTATATCATTTATCAAGTAAAAGTCCCCATACATATATAATATAAAATGTTTTACATTTCAACAACAAACACAAGCCTAATTTAAAGCTCAGTAAAGAACTTGAATTGACGTTTTCCAAAGATACTCAAATAGCCAATAAGGCCATGAAAAGATGAATAGCCTCACTAGATATGGTAGAGATGCCAATCAAAAGTACAAGATAGCATTTTACAAGAACTAGGATGGTTCTCATTTATGAATGACAAATAATACCTCAGGAGAGATCTAAACAAATTTGAACATCCATCCTTTGTTGGTAAGAATATAAAATGGCACAATTACTTTTGAAGTCTGTTTGTCACTTTCTTGTCAATTCTTTAAACAACTAAAGAAAGTAACCACAGAACACAGGAATTTAAATCTTAGTTATTTGTACAAGACAATTGAAAATAAGTATTGTATTCAAGCAAGTACTTGCTTATTTTTCAAGCAAGTACTTGTATATGATTATTTGTAGCAACATTATTTACAGTAGTCAAAATGTAGAACGAAGCCAAATATTGATTAATGGATGATTGTATATGTTAAATATAGCATATCCATACAAAAGACTATTATTTAGCTACAAAAAAGAGTGAAGGACTTTTGGATGCTACACAATGGATGAGCTTGTAAAATTTTATGCTACATAAGGGAAGTCAAACATAAAAGGTCACACTGTATAACTCTGTTTTATTGAATTATCTAGCCTATATAAATCCATAGGTTCAGAAGTCTGACTAATTCTTGCCAGGGACTTTGATGAGGTGAATGCCTGCTTATTTGATACAGGGTTTCCTTACAGGTGATGAAAATGCTTTAGAGCTAGAAAGTAGTGATGATTGCATAACATTGTGCAATTCTTAATTTCACTGAATTATACATGGTAAAATGATTAGTGTTATATTTCATTTGATCTCATTAAAAGAAGGTGGACAGAATTTTCAAGAGAAATTGACAAACCCACAAATCAGGATACCTTAATGGATCATTTTATTAAGGTAATTGATTAAGGTAATAAAATATTGATAAGAATATACAATATTTTAAGAACAAGGTTATAAGACTAGAATTGATATATGCGGAATCATGTATCCAAAAGAAGATATATATATATATATATATATATATATATATATATATATATATTGCCTTTTGCATAATTAAAAGCAGGATGAATCTTCACATTTGGTGTTTATATTTGTCTTCTTCATTACCTTGAAATTTGAATCAGTTTCCTGCTCAACTGTATATATTCATGATAACCACCCAAATAGTATCTGCCTAATTTATGTGGCTTATCTCATCCCCCTTTAAGACTGAAGATATCCAGACAAACATAAACAAGTACTTTTCAGGAATTTCAAGTACATTCCATTGCTAGCCTTTAAGATTCTAGTTCCAGAAATTCTGGAGTGATGCTTAGAAGCCTTAAATCATTTATTACATAAGCTACCATGGAGTCCAGAAAAATCAGTGCCTCTCAGATCATTCCAGAGTAAGGTCACCAAAAAGAGCTGTATACGGCCCTGGAAAACAGATCTTGAACCCTTTGATTTTTGCTTCCTACAGTGGCTAAATTGATGTATCTTGTCTCCTTGACTAGTGAAATGAAGATCAAAATTTACTCTATTGGGATAATTTGCAGGGCTTTTGCCTAAAACTCTAAAAAACCCCTGATGTATCAAAGCTTATAATCATCAGAGGAAAAGACACTTAGAGACATATTTACAAACTTTAATGCATTCATCAGAAATATGAAGAGTGAATCTCAATTTATTTTTAAAAATATAGTTTCTTCATTTCCTTGAACATCCTACATACAGCTATTTTAAATGTTGCTTTCAAATTGTTCTATTATTGGAATTTATTATGGACTGAATTTGTGCTATTTTGTGGATGTGGGAGTGCTCACTTAGTCATGTTCATACATTTTTTAAATTTTGAATTATAGGCCTCTCTCTCTCTCTCTCTCTCTCTCTCTCTCTCTCTCTCTCTCTCTCTCTCTCTCCCCTTGCCACATTCTCCTGTCTCTTTTATCTCTGTGTTTATGATTCCCAATTTAGTGTTTCTTAAATTCATCCAACTGCTTATATTGCATTCCAGCCCAGAATTATATCATTTCTTGGTGGAACAGGGCTGCTGTTTTATAATAATATTTTCGATTCCAGAGAGAGTAACCAGAAATTATACACGTGCTCTCCTGTATAAGCACTTAACAAATAATAAATTGTGGTTCTAGGCATTAATCTGCAAAAATATTTTTCAAGTTTTATTCACAAGCAAAGGTAGTCCCAATGTGACTCCTACAGTTACATAGGTATCCTATCCCCATCTTAATGTATGCAAAGACCTTTATATATAAAATTTACAGATGCCAAACTATTTTTCCCTCTACTTTGTGGATGTAACTCAGTCTCAAGGCCCTCAATTTAGGCTCCATTATTACAAAAATAAAGATAAAATATCTAAATATTCTCTCTGAATTGAATTTATATACCATTTATGATTCACAGAAAGATTTGTCCTTTTTATTTAGTTTTTTTTTTTATTTTTTATATTTGGTGGAACCGGGGAATGAACTCAGACCCTTGCACTTGCCAGGGAAGGACTTATTCTACTGACTCATCTCCTGGGCCCCTTGTCCTTTTTGAAATGGAATTTTACACAAATTTGGATGTCATCCTTGCACAGGGTCCATGCTACTCTTCTGTGTATCATTCCAATTGTAGTATGTGTGTTGCTGAAGTAAGCACTTGTGTTTGAGATAAGCCTTGTAGGTGACTTATTTTTTCTTTTCCTATTTTCTTTCTCATTGGTCTAGGGTTTCAACTAGAGAGACAATTCTGGCTGTATAAAACTTGCCATGGGTAGTTAAATTATATATATATATATATATATATATATATATATATAGCAATAAGTTAAATTTTCTTTGCAAATGCAGGGTCAGAGAAGTAGAACACTGGCAAAAATCTATTAACCTATCTCCTCCCTTATATATTTAATACATATTTATTGAAAATTAACTATGTAATATGTACTGTATTACATGCTATAGGAAGGAGATAACTGGCATGCATTGTACAGAGCTGAGTTAGGAATAAACATTTGATAAGTTCAAAACTTTGGTTACAAAATTATGTTTATTGACCTGAGTTGCTGCCCACCACTAGAAGGGAGCTCATATATATGAACCCATTGGAAAATTATTCTCATTGCCATGGTTCCTCTGAAGAATTAATCAGAAAAATGTAAGTTAAATTATTTAAATATTACAAACCTGAAACAAGCAAGTGTTAAATCATATTTTATTCATGTGGAGATAGAAATGAAAGTTGCCAAATTCATTTAGTGTGAGAATTTAGGACATATATTGATGACTTGTCTAAAGCCATTGTCTGTTACTTTTTGTTCATTGCTGGGACAAAGTAGTCAACATCCAAAGTTAAGGAAGGAAAGGTTTATTTAGCTCACGTTTTGTGCAGGTTTCAGTATATACTTAGCTGGATCCCAGGCAGTGTGGCATTCAGCAAAGAGCACCAGTTCATGGCAGCAGAAAAGAGTGAAGATCAAAGGGAAGGGCAGCAGTGGTGGCTTCTAGCCAGTCTCTCTCACCTCCTTTTATTGTAAAAAAGCTACCCTTGAGACTGGGGTGGTAGAACTCACACAATGTCTATGCCCTCCTCTATCACAGGAAGAGGATGTTTACAAACTAAGAATCCTGGCTCCCTGTTGAGTCACTTAATTAATCTTCTAAACTTCTCAAGTTGACACAATACATCAACCTGTACAATCCACCTATTATCAACTTGGTAACCAGACATTTTCTTAAACTAGTTTCCAGGTACATAGATTTGCTTAATAATATTTCACAGCATGAACATTGTATTACATTTGAACCATGATATTTTGCCCCTGGGCACCCACCCAAAGACTCATGCATATCCCTTTATGTAAAAAGCATTTTAGTCCATCTCTAAGAGATGACAAAGGCCTAACAATTTCAGCATTGCAAAAAAGTCCAAGACCCAAACCTCCAGGATCAAAAGCAAACTCTTAGCTATGAGCCCCTGTACAAATGAATAGTTAAACTCCCAACATTCAAAGGCTTAAGATAAACATTACCATTCCAAAAGGTATACACAGCAGGGTACAAACAATCAGGATCAAGACAAGCTCAAAATAAAAAAGGACAAGCATTGAGTCCTGTAGTTCCATGTGGGATATCCAAAGCAACCTGTAACAAGTGAGTTGTGAGCTACAAAAGCCTTACATGATTCCACCCCTATGGAGCTTCTGCTGGTAGCTCCCATGGCTTTCCTTGGAGGCTGGTTTTGCTCTCTCCTTGCAGCTTTCCTTAGACAATCCACATTCCTGTCTTCTGCAAACTTCTGAAGTTTCCACTGAAAAGGCTTCTCACTCACAGCTTTATATACTGCCCTCTCAGGTGCACATTGCCTGGCCTCCCGGGCCTTCTGAAATCTAGATGGAAGCCTTCTTATCCTCAGAACTTCTGCATTCTGCATGCACCTAAAACCAGTGCCACATAGATGGTGATGATGCCAAGGTCTGCTGCCAGCTGAAGCAGTAGCATGGCTTTTTTCTCTCTTGGGTGTATGGGTCGAGTGCCTGGATTGCTGAGCACTCTTGACCCTGATCCAAGAAACAAATTCTCTATGCCGGCACTATTCTGCAATATAATGTGGCTGCCACCTCTATTCTGAAACATGGGGCTCCACAGCTTTCTCCTCAAAGCAAAGTCCCTCGCCCTTGGGATTCTGAGGTTGCAAAAAGCAAGAACCTGGCCCCTCCTGTGATGCCCTCAGGACATCTTTTTACTCTCCTGTTCCTTCTCAGAGATAGAGATCCTCTCAGCTCTCTCTTTGCATTCCACAACCTTATTGGAGCTTTCTTTCTGGCCAAACTCACATTTTAAATCATACTTCTGTGCTCTTTGCTCTTTATTCTCAACATAAATCCGGCTAAAAGCCCACAACAGCCATGCCACTGCCTCAATATTTGACTGCTTTGACATTTCTTTTTCAAGATTAACTATTCTGCCGCACTTAATGTCAGTCTCTGGCAAAGTCTCTGGACAGGAGCAAAATGTAGACAAACTTCCACAGTCCAACAACCAATGAAGTCCTTCTTCCCAGCACAAACCTCCCCAGCCTGGTCCATACAGGAGGATTTCCATCAAAGTTCTAGCCTGAGCGCTGACCAGAATCTCCCATACAAAACAGCTGAAGCTGTTCCAAAGCTTCTCTTGTAGGTGACATCTCTACATATTTCTTATCCCTTCTCATAAGCTATTCCCAGAAACTTGTAATCCACATGGTCATATTTAGCCACAGCAACAACCCCACTTCTCTGGTACCAAATTCTGTTTTAGTTACTTTTTACTCATTGCTGGGACAAAATACCCAACACCTGAAATTAAAGAAGGAAAGATTTGTTTAGCTCAGTTTGTGGGAGTTTCAGGCTATACTTGGCTGTCTTCCAGGCACAGTGGCATATGGCAGAGAGCACCAGTTCATGGCAGCAGAAAACAGTGAAGAGAAAAGGGAAGGACAGCAGTGGTGGCTTCTAGACAGCCTCTCTCCCTTTCTTATATTGTAAACAAACTCTAAACAAGCTATCCTTGGGGCTGGGGTTGTATAACTCACACAGTGCCCATGTCAACCTCATGCATAGGATGAGGATGTTTAAAAACTAAGAATCCTGGCTGCCTACTGAGTCACTTAATTAAGCTTCTAAACTTGTCAAGTTGACACAATGTATCAACCAGCACAGCCATCAATGGATCTTTTGTAAATTGCAATCAATACTTAAAAATTTGTAGACTTGAAAACTAGAACTATCATGCCTGTCCCAGAGTAAACCAAGTGGAATCTGAAACTACCAAAGTAGATAACTTTCTTATTTTTCAAAAAAATTACTAGTTAAAATGTACATCTACTCATGTTTATTCAAAGTTTGCTCTCCAAAATTGCATCATAACTTTACTGTGCAAAAATTAGGGTGCTTATTTTCTTATTTACAATAGTTAATATTCCAATAATTGAATATGTCTGATTCCCCAAACATGGCTGTGATTATGTTTACCAGAATCAAAGTGCATAGATTCAAGTCTTTGCCTTGTCATTTATTAGCTGTGTTAACCTTACACTTACTGAATTGATTTACATTCATTTTCTTCACCTATCAAGGGGATATAGTATCTGTTTCAAATCATTGTTTTAAATATAAAGTTTAAAGTGTTAGCATGGTGCTTAGAATATGGAGAGAGCTCAGTAAATATTATCAGAAGAGACTTCATATGGACAGCAAGATTGACAACAACAATTGTTAAAGAGGGTACCTTTCCGTCAGCATATATTTTTGGCCCCTTTGTCAGACATCAGATATCTGAATGTGCCTGAGGTTGTTTATATATCATATATTTTGCTTCACTTTTGATCCTGTCTGTATTAGGCCAGTACTATGCTGTGTTTATCACTGTAGCTTTGTTCTATAAGTTGTCGGGGATTGTGATACTTCCTGATTTGTTTTAGTTGCTCAAAATTGTTTCAGCTATTTTAAGTCTTCTCTGGTTCCATGTAAAGTTTAGGATCTTTTTCTGTTTTCCTGCAAGGAAAGCTACTGTTATTTTGACTATCATTGTATTAAACCTGAATATCAGTTTTGAAATTATGAACATTATGTCTAGATTAGTGGTGCCTATCCAGTAATAGAGATTATCTTTACATGTTCTAATGCCCTCTTGGTTTCCTTTTTCAAACTACTGTATTTTTTCTTCTGCAAGTCTTTAATGTTCCTTTAAATGCCATCCGTACACATTTATTTTTTAATACTATTGATAACAGATTTATTTTCCCAAATTCTGTCTTCGTGAGTTCATTATTGGTATGCATGAAGACTATTCATTATTCAATGTTGCTTTTGTATTCTCAACAAAAATATTATCAAAGTGAATCAGCATGGATTATACACAGTGATCAAGTGCATTTCCTCCATGTAGTGCAAGTATGGTTGAGTGAATAAACACCAATCAATATTATACATCACATTATTAGGATTAGGAATAAAATTTTTGCATTATCATCTCAAGTTATGCAAAATAAACTACTTGACAAAGTTAAGCACCCTTTCATGATAATTTTTTTAACAAACTAGGAAAATGAGTAAATTCAACATAATGAAAGCCATATAATCATATCCAAAAGTGAACACCATAATCAGTAATGGAAAATTGAAATTTTGTCTTTTAAGATTAAAATTAAGGGCAGGATTCCTTCTGAATAATGACTACTTTTATGCAAAAAAGTGTGGAAGCCGCAGCCATAAAAAATTATTCACATGCATATGTGCATACCCATATAAAATGAGAGGGAGAGGAGAGAGAGGGAGAGGGAGAGGGAGAGGGAGAGGGAGGGAGGGAGGGAGAGAGGGAGAGAGAAAGAGAGAGGGAGGGAGGGAGGGAGAGAGAGAAAGAGAGAGAGAGAATCAAAATCAGAAATTGGGAAGAAACATACTGCCTATGAATGACACAATCTCCTATGTACAAAACTGTAAAACAACTACCAAGAGGTTATAACCTGTAAATTTAACAAGTTTGAATAATCAAGAAGTGGCCATAATTTTTCTTTTGCACTCAGCTTCAAAGAGAGTGAACAGTCTCCCATATTGAACACAGATGAACCTGGAAAATACTATAATACACAAAATATTCAATTTACAGTATACTGTGGCT